AGATAAAATGCACATTTGCTTTATATACAAAGGTAGAAAAAATGTAATTGATATATGAAGTTAAACAGAATGAAATTAGAAGTTCATGTTTGCAAAGTTGAACGACCAAAAACATTTAGCTTTATACGTATTCATCAAGTTAAAGATGCATTATGTTGTAAGAGCTAAATCTGCCTATTACAGGGTTTTATTTTATTAAATTATTATTTAGACATTTATTTACATAACAAGCCCATAATCAACTCTCTAGAACATCGGATGGCTCCGATTTTAAGTAGATTAGAACACTGCTCCCATTAAAAATTTAAGTACTAAACGGTTAGTTGATGGATAATTGAAACTTTGTTTATTATCTTGGGAACATAGTGCTATGACAATCGAGACTACGTTATTTCTTGTCAAAATTTCAAATGCTCATAACTGCACCCAGAATAAAGTAATTTGACTGAAATTTTCAATCTATTCATTCATTTTACATTCTATTTTTAAACTTTTATAGCGAAAATGGCCAGCTCTTTATCTAAATCTTACATAATGCATCTTTAACTAACAAGCAGTTGCATACGTCCACACCACAGCATTTCAGACAATGTCATCTAGATATCCACTAAAATTGAATGGATTTTAGTTTCCATAATTCATAGATAATAGGGGAGTAACTCCATGCATACATTCTTAAAAGTGTCAGATTAATAATGAGAAATTGGGTTCTACTTTCTACTCAAACAACCTTTACATGAAAGTGTACAATATATGTACTAGTCTGTAAAGACTTGATCGATGATATGAATGATGTGAACATGGTACCAGTACCGTATACTATAATCTTACACATACCTATCTCTTTGATCTCCAGGATTATACAAACCCTGCTCCTTCAAATAGCTTAGATGTTCTTTGTAATATAGTTCTAATCTTTCATGTAATTCTCTCCACCAAAGCTCAATCTAAAACATAAATTAACAAGGACATACAGGACAGCACAGAATAGTATAACACCTATAAATTGAAATCATGTCCACTCCATAGGAATCATACATGTTAAAGTGAAGATAATTCCCTTACTTTACAAATACTAGGCTTCCAATTGGGTGACTATTTTTTGTGTGGATCATGCTCTGAGCTGAATTAGTCCTAGATGTGATTTCTCAACTCATCATGTCACATTGAAGATTGAAGGCAAGGTAGAAAGAATACATGTATAAATGGGACATGGACATGCCAAGAAATAGGTTTTTACATTTAAATATTACAGATAAGAAACTATAATTAACATTTGAGGTCATTATTAAAGCTGCCTAAAGGTGTACTGTACCTGATTAGATGTTGAGGGGCCGTACAAAACGGTATCCTCTGGATTTATACCATCCATATCATGATGGCGATGTAGAAATGCATGAATTGTGGACATAACACCTGTTTCTGTACCTCGATCCATTCTCAAATACATAGGCATTGTTTTAGTTTTAATCAAGTATTCCATATACCACCTTCCGATTAATTTTGGGTTATTGTTACTTGTCCACACCTTTAACCAAAGAAGTTTACGACTACATGTATCTAAACATCCATACACAGCCAATGGATATGTATTCTTCTGATATCACATCAGTTTGTCGTGACCATCAACAGAATGGACCCAGTTTGGTCCATTAGAAAAGAACATTCCTTTAGTTTTTTTCTTCTTTTCTATCACAGCCCTTCCCTTTAATCCTTCTGGGTCTAATTCTGACATTGCTGCATACACTACATCTCTGGGTACCTTTAATTTATGATGCAATCTAAGTTTCTTATGCATGGCTCTATATCCTAGTAAAGATCCAGGCCCATCTAACTCCTCTGAGACTTTATTAAGAACATTCTCCACTGTGACCTCATGATCAGTGAAATATATTTGAAAATATCTCATCCTCCTATCCAAGGTTGGTAAGCTGCAAGAATAGGTTTCATAATCCCGTCTTACGAAGCTGAGGATTTCACTTCGTTTTAAACCTTTTAAAACATGGGTCTCGAGATCTTTCTTAAGGTCAGTGTCATGTTTCCAGTTTACGTTTCTGTGGTATTTTGGCTTGGAAAACATTTAGTAAAGTTTTTGGCATCCATAAACTGTTGTTATTGTTTGTATTTCCCGGAAATAAATAAACCAGTAGACTAGATTATCAGGTCTCTGAATGAGATGGATAAATAAGAGGTAGACTTAATAACCCCGTCTACTTAACCTGCCTTCCGACCCAAAATTTTTATTTTACTTTTGTGTGAAAAAAAAAAGAAGAAAAAAAGTTGAATGATAGCAATAGGCCGACAAATATTTTTATTTTGCGTTTCACTTTTACTTTTGTTTTACATTTCAAAGTACTTTTAAAAATGATTTTAGTTTTCATATGTGTTTTAATTTACATTCTGGTTTTACTTTTGAATCAACTTTTACTTTTGATTTTGGGGATCACGTGGCTAAGTGGGTAAGACGCTAGCTCGCTAGCCTGGAGGTCGGGTGTTCGATCCCTGCATTGGCCGAGAAAGTTCATCCAGATTTTCCGGCGTGGTTCTCCCTTGTCAGTGATGCAGGACGGAGGGCTGACAAGGAAAGCTGTCTAGTCGTTCGGATGGGACGAAAAACCGAGGTCCCGTGTACACATTGGCGTGCACGTAAAAGATCCCTTGGCAGTTGGAATTCGATATAAGAGTAGGCCGTAGTGCCGCTGTCCGGGCAAAATTTCCCTCATAGCACACTGTATGGCGTATGCCCGTCTTCATTAGCCCAGGTTAGGAGCAGAACAGTAGGACGTTAAACTCCATTTCATTTCATTTACTTTTGATTTAATTTTTACTTTTGATTTAACTTTTACTTTTGATTTAATTTTTACTTTTGATTTAACTTTTACTTTAATTGTTACTTTTGATTTAACTTTTACTTTTGATTTAACTTTTACTTTAATTTTTACTTTTGATTTAACTTTTACTTTTGATTTAACTTTTACTTTTGATTTTACTTTTGATTTAACTTTTACTTTTGATTTAACTTTTACTTTAATTTTTAATTTACTTTTGCTTTTATTTTTACTTTTGTTTCTATTTTACTTTGGATTTTTACTTTGTTTTTCATTTTCATTTCGTTTTATTTGGTATTTAAAGAAATTTGTTAAATTCCTGAATGATAACGATAGGACACCGTAGTGGACCCTATAAAGGTCACAATTTTTATCCGATTTTGTTGAAACTTGAAATGCAAGTTTATAACCCAAAGATCTTGGTTCCTTTCGATGTTCACGCATATCGGACAGTAACTTCCTGAAGTATGGCCTCTGATTGTACGAAAAATCACTTTCTTTTTAGCTTGTTCTCTATCCATCTCTCGAAAATGTGGGCGTATCCTGCCTGGCAGCCGCTGGTTAATACATTAAGTCACTGTCCAAAGTTTTAGGGATGAGCCGAGATTAAACGAAGGGCTGTCGTATTGCTGTACTTAGGATAGATTTGATTGAACGGGAAGAATAGACAGAAACTCTCAAAAGCTCAAATATCAGAAGCCAATCCAGCAATGGTCAGAGAGGGATTTTTTCGAGCCATTGCTTTAGGAATATGGGTTTATGACCGCCTTCATTAGCCCAGTCAGTGCATAAATTTGGGACGTTAAACCCCATTTCATTCACAGAAATAAGAGTATCGCAACACCAGAATGTTTTTGCGCAGAAAAGAAATTTATTACCCAAATAACTATGTTATGAGAAAGCACGTAACAGACTTACAGCGTAAGGAAAGCATGAACCCCTTGCGTCATGAAAAGAATGTTTGGGAAATCAGCCATTGCATTGATAGTCCTTTAGCCCAAGGGGTAGAGTGGTTCATGCTCAAAATTTTGTACAACAAACAGACACTATTTCCGGATTATTTTAACATTATATACTATTCAAAAAAAAGTAGGAGATATTCAGAAACAATACAGAACTGCGGAAATACACTGCTGTTTTTATTAGGGGTAACCAGTGTATGTTAATAACAGGTCAATTGCCTACACCTGAACAGTTCATATGGGTGGCTTACCTGACGGCCCCATTTCACTCGCAAAGAGATACACTGTCAAAAGCGAAAATAGACGTTTTTGATTTTTGTCTTAATAATGAGTAATTGCTCCACCGATCCTCAGACGTTCAGAAATTCGTCGTGGCATGCTCCTAATCAACCGCCCAATCACGATGTGGGTCAATCTGACCCAATTCTCTTGCAGTGTCAAGGCCAATTCTTGCAGTGTTGTCCGTTGAAGTCCTAGACATGCTCTTTAGGGGAAGGTCAGTACTCATGACTGCGCAAGGCATATGGACAATATGGTGACGCTGGAGGTTGTCATTCACGACACGAGCGCGGTGGGCACTGGCACGGGATGAAACGTCGAGCTGCACGTTGAGCAAAGAGCAGAACTATCGGTGCCAGGATGTGGTCACGGTAGTACACACCAGTGACCCTTCCTAGAACAATATGCAAGTCCGTTCTGCCAGTCATGGTGATTCCTCCCCACACCCGAATCTGTCATGCTGTTTGATGTTAACGTTAGCGTGCTCATTTACACGCCTCCAAACGCGAGCACGCCTATCGGTGAAATCCAGAGGTAATCTGGACTCATCTGAGAACATTACACGCGCCCATCGACGATTACCCCAATTTCTACGCTGCCTGCACCATTGACGCCTGTTTTCCATGTGCTGGCGAGTTAATGGAGGCACAACACGAGGTCGTCGCGCATGTAAATGGGCTGCATGTAGCCCATTTCTAATCGTTTGGGGTGTAATTCGAATTCCTGTAACTTGGTACAAGTTTAAAGAAAGCTGATTGGCCGTTTGTCCTCGATTTCGCAATACCTGTGTACGAATGTATCGATTCTGGACTTGTGTAGTGGCTCTAGGACGACCTGAACGAGGTCTATCATCAACATTGTGTGTTGCAACCCTATCAAATATAACATCCAATTACAAACCTATGAAATAGAACATCACACTACAAGCCTATCAAATATATAAACTGTTATATTTATCATATAAAAAGCTCACCTATATAAAACTTTAAACTTATGAAATATATAAAGCTATTAAATGATCAAATATATAAAGCCATTAAATGATCAAATATATAAAACTTTAAACTTATCAAATATATAACACTTATCAAATATATAAAACCCAAATACAAACATATCAATTATAAAAAACTATAAACTGATCATATTGTAGCAGCCCCGACAAAGGTGGTCTCGCCCCTAAAGAAGGAAAATGCGACTTTCGGTAACAAAACAATATGAAACTTTATTCCAGGTTCACTTGGTCATCAATTATTGAACATACACTTAGAAATATAACTTAGTAGATCCTTCTTGGGCTTTCCTTCCGGTGGCTTTGAATTTAGGACTAGCGATCAGAATAGTATACAAAAATGATGGCTATTTAATCGGGGAAATTATGTAATTTATGAAAATATATTTGTGATTTACTTTACATGTAACTTGGGAAAATTTACTTTACTTGAAAAATATTCATGGAATGTGCCCTTTAAGACGAGGTTCTAAGAATTGGGGAGGGAGGAGTTAGTGCTATTGACTCTTACCAGGCAAGCGCCAATGAGTGAATGACAATGGAAAGCCTGCGGGCCTTATATACCTTCGCTTTAGGTGTCACGTGACTGTCTCGACCAATCAAATCACGTAAAAAGGGGACGTATTTTGCCTAGGAAGGATCTACTTTACAATACTGGTACCTGAAATGTAATTATTATCAATAAACAACTATTCTTTGAGGAGGCAATAAGTTGGCAATACAAATATATAGCTAATCTGACTAATAAACAACTCTAAGAATACTAATTGATGTACAGAATAATAATAAAATTAATGTAATAACAATGCGTCCTTGATTACGTCTCGATTACGTCCCACGACGTTACCATGACCGAACATTACGCCTCAAATACAAAAGACTAATTTTAACAAGGTAGAACTCAATATCGCTATATACAACCGTTACAAATTATGCGAGGAATAACATACTCCATCCAATTTCGATGAAGATGAAAAGGTAAATTAACGGATAATTATATGATTAGCCCCGAAAATATTAGCACAATCCCTGTTGCCAAGTTGATCACGGCGTATGAATTTCCTAGTTCTACACAAACAAGTCAAGCAAGGCCTTGCTTGAACCGAGCGTAATGTTTAATCTAAGCACAATAGACTTAATTGAACCTAGATACGATAATCTAACAACCCTTTATAAGTATCACTTTATTAGCGATCATCTCTTAGACATTTATTTATTATTGGTAATAACTAGAAATAAGAAGTATTTGTGTCCCCGTCATCGACCTCGCTCTAACAACCGTTTTCGAAAATGGCGGCTTCCCAGACCCTCGTAGAAATCGAGAGGAGGTTAAATGGATTTACTCTATGAATCAGGATTATAGCAGTTCATGGATATAATAGTGAACATAATATGAAGGTAAGGTAGATTACTGAGATTTAATTGACACATTTAATGTTATTGAAACGACGATACGCATCAAAATCCATGTAGTAAACGACGTGTCGTTCAGCGGACCCAAATACTAGGACCATCTTCACTCGTTATAGGTATAAACTAACTCTAAATTTAGACAACACATGATGGCATTAAACACGATTAATAGCTTACATCACTCAACAATTAATATTACTTATGCTAATCATAGTTTCTATAAAATTTATCATTACAATCACTGTAAATAATCACCGACAACATATGTTATCATAAAGAAACGAAAGACATCCCTATGTTACTATAGTTAGAATAAAGGCTCACGAACGTCAACAAGCGAACGAGTGAAACATAAACAACAAGAATGGCCCAGGCCATTTCAATATGTATAAAGCTTATCAAATATGGAAGAAAAGAGTTTTGTGGGAAGCATTAGAAATCCTAAGACAAAAACCAAAAATGAATAAAGACAATGGAAGAGCCCTTTCTAATGTATGGAATGAATTATTTTGTTAAGCAAGTTATTATCTATTATTGGAACTATTTATAAGTATTATACAATAGGATACCATAAGTATCAATTATCAGTGAAGTAAAATTAAAATAATTTTTTATCAGTGGAGTGGATCTATAAGTTATTATTCGTATCAGTGGAGTGGAAATTAAAAATTTTATTTATCAGTGGAACTATTATTTATGAGGGCTACTATAACTTATTTATTTGTTCTATTGGAACAATAATTAACAAATTTTCTATATAATAATATTGTAAATGTATGAGCAAGAGGGGGTGGGTTAAAAACCTAACTAATTATGCATAGTGTATTGAAATTAGTCAGATTAAATATTTGATGGTGTGGTTAATGGGTTTTGATTGCATTTTAGCTTAGGCGGTGGCTTCAATCCCCACTTTTAACACCTTAGATTGAAGAAAAATGGTAAAGCCATACTCAAAGGGAAATGTTTGTTGTTATAGTCTTAATTAATGTTATGTTTTTATTGTTAAATGGTTCTTACTCATGGATGTACTATAAATGTAGAGTTGTTATTCATTATTGATCATTGCTTGATAAAGATACCTGTAAGAGTATTGAAACGTTGCATGTAATAAACCAAGAAGTAGTAAATCCATAAAGTTGTGTTATTATGAATATTATCAAATATATAAAACCCAATACAAACATATCAAAAATACAAAACCAGACTACAAACTTGACAAATATATACAACTTAAATTATTAAACTATCCATATACATTTTTAATACTTTTTGTATACACAACTATAAAATTGTTTAATTTAGAAGATTACACGTCTTATGATTTAGGTGATACTAAAAAAAGGCAAACATATGGAAAAGGAATTGTAAAAATAAAAAAAACAACAATTATAATCTATAGTTTTATAAATATATATTTAATGGCATCTGCAGGCGCGGACATTTTTTTTTTTTGGGGGGGGGGGGTAGTAAAATTGCGACCGTACGCCAATAAATAAATCCATTTATATTACCCAGAAGGTGACAAAGATATCGCTTCTCCCATATCGGAAATACCACTATCACTGATACTACTAATGTTTTTTTTCTTTCATATTACAATTACTACTATCATTGTTACTACTACATGCATGGTTCGTTTTCATTACATTGAGGAGGGATAGGAGCTTTTTGTCTCTTTCGTACCACAAGAATTGTCGTCAGTATACAGATTATTACTAGTACTGGAATTATAACAGCCACGACAATAATTGGACTGGAGTTTATAGATGATACGATCTTGTCACGTGGTTTGGTTATACCAGTTGGAGCTGTATAGTTGTCGTGGTTTAAATCTATATAAATATAACAAATAATGTATTTTAAAAGTTATTTTGGGAATACAGTATTTGGGATTATTACCGACATATCTGAGAGGCAGGTGCGAGGAGTATTAGATCATAAGGTCTGTTATTGATTCAAGTGGTGTGGTTTCGATTCCCGGCTAGTACGTGACAAGGAGTAGGATTGGCAGTCCAATCTCGTGTATTTTCTCCAAGTCCTCCGGCTTCCCCAACTGCTAAAGACCCCTAGCAAAAGATAATTTAAAATTGAACCATATGTTAGTTCCAAAATGACCTAGTTTGTGTCGAGTGGGCGTTAAACTTCATGTCGCTATGAAACGTCAGCAATAACCGACGACAAACCATATGAAGCTGAAACTGTATGTGTGACACTGTATGTGTCTACACGTCATTCTGGACAGATGTTTCTACACGTCATTCTGCACAGATATCTATTCTCAAAGTAGAACGATCGATGTGTGCAGAATGGCGACACGCCTCCAAATATATTATGCCATTTCGAGACAAAATTAATCAAATCACAAAATAAAAACAACAAGCCAACAGTGAGGCTGATGTCCCCCGCCGAAATCCGCAAATAAATAGATGCCACATATTAATTAATCGCACATCTATTTTTTTTCAAAAGTATCGAGCAATCAAACTGTTTATCAACTATACACTAAATTTCATCACTCTCTATCAGACAGAATCAAAGTTATATTGTCCCAAAGCATCGACCAAGGAAATTGCTTATCTCTGCTTAGCTTGAGATCGATATGTTAATCATTGAACTCAGTCAAGACGAATATCTACATCAAGTTTAAACATTCTACCTCAATTAGAAGCAGTGTGAACATTTTAGCTCAATTAGAAGGAGAGTTATTGTGTTCCGAAGTCTCGGCCAATCAAATTGCTTATCGCTCTGCTTACCCTGAGCAGAAAATGCTCATCATCGAACTTAGTCAAGGTACTGATGTAATAAAACTATACACCAAGTTTCATCACTTTCACTTAATTAGAACTAAAGTTATCGTGTCCCAAAGCATCAACCAATCAAATTGCTTATCTCTGCTTACACTAAGCAGAAAATGCTCATCTTCGAACTCCATCAAAGCATTGACCTAATATACACCCACACTAAGTTTGAACATTCTAGGTCAATTAGAAGGAGAGTTATTGTGTCCCAAAAAGTGTGACGGACAGACAGACGGACGGACAGGCAGGCGGACGAACCCATTTTAATAGTCCCCTGCTTTCTTCAAAAGGCGGGGGACAAATATCACAAACATACAATTAACAATTGAAAGAACATTTTCTGTTCATTAAGCCAGGGACATAAATTGTGACTAAAATCAACCCAAGGCTGTAATTTGTGACGTCACTTAAAAAGTAAATATAGAAATGTTTGTAATATTTACCATCGACATCGTTAAGTTGCAATCGACACTGACAAAAGTGGCCATCACCTGGTATCACTTTACATATGTATGTTAAATTAAAGTCACTTTCGGATGTATCAATTAAAACAAGAGTTATCTGCCTTCTGTCATCAGCCACCTCTGTTATATTAAATACCAGTCTGCCTTTAAATAATGGTTCGGGTAAAAATTTATTCTGATACCAATACCCCAGATAGTCTTCCTATTAAAGACATAAAATACATGATGTCATCGACTGATATTTACATTTTCGAAGCAACGGTAACAATGTCTTGGTGGGCTTGCCAACTAATCAGCATAGTAGATACATCTCCTGAATTATTGACATAAAATGGAACCATTTGTTAGTCCCGAATAAAATATCCTAGAGTGTCTATTTTAGAGAGGAATATTCTCCGAAAATAGGGTTGGAACCAAAGGAAAATAGTAGCCATTGATTAAATTGTTTGGCTTAGATTTGTATTTGGCTATAAATGAATAACAGGCACTACTCACCTCCTTTCCAGTGCTATCGATCCTCGATATTTTAACTGCTATAATCGGGTAACGATAGTGATACATCCAGGTAAATGTTGTTCCGCTTTTATCCGATTCTATCCCTTTACCTTTACACGTTGATCCTAGAATAAAAAAGGTAATCCTAAAGTCTAGACCAGTGTTTGTCATTCATGCATACGATCAGTGGTGAACAGTCGATTAAATCACATTTGGACGTATGTTTTTTTACCAGTAACTTACTTAAAGGCTCAATACCACTCTTGTTGTAACTGAATAATATGTCCCAATCTTTATTCTGGTAAACAAATTGTACTATTTTAGAATATTTCAATTGATTGATGATACAAATTTCATATTAACACACGTTATTTAAAAATTTTGAAAAATTCAACATAATGGTTTGAAACGTCTAACGTAAACCTTTTCAAATGAAACTTCGATTTAAAAATATTTTCGAACCCTCTGGACAAGTAAAATAGGATGTAATGGATAATTTACACAACAGGTAGGACACTTAAACATCTAGTACTTCGAATAAGGCTATTTTTTATTTTCTGGAGCTTTCAAGCCAGCAAGAGTGTAATTGTCCCTTTAAATGTTGCAACTAGTTTAGTAGATGAATATAATAGAAACCCGTGAAGTTGTTATATATCGATAGCCACTTTAAAGACCAAATGAACTTGTCTACATATGTTTATAGTTCACACAATGCATGTACAAGGCCATAAGGTGGGGTCTCCAGTCCCAATTCGGTGAAAAGTATTTCCGTTTTGCTTAACATACTGTTAATTAATATCGCTGTGTAATAGTATAATTAATTAAAAAAACCAACACTCACAGCTTTGTGAAAAATTATTTTTAGTTATGATTGATTCATTCTGAAAATTCGGGTGGCAAAGAAAACTTTTCGGGCACAATATGCAATCTTTATTCTGCGGAATTCAGAATTCGTGCAATTTCGGTAAACTGATGAGTTAGTTCTGTGATAATAAATATGCTACTATTACAATATAAAAGGGAATGAAGTGTGTATAGTGGCACTGAAATGTTGAAATATACTAAATTCTCAATTATAAAATTTAAATCTTACTTTCAGCCACCAGTTCAACACCTTGACTGTAAGAGATGTGATCATCATAGACGACATGACAGTAGTAGGTTTTATCAAAATCATCAATAATTGTTTGTTGTAATTGAAGGCTGATCCTTTCTACACCCCTTTTGTGTATTTGTGTTATATTTAGTATCAGTTCAGTTGAAACATCTACTCTGTTTTGTTTGAAACCTTTCTCGATCGTCCATACACCAATATCTGTAGTCTGTAGAACGAACATAATTAGGGGTCAGATAGATTGGCGCTGTCTAACTTAACAGATTCAGATATAATTCAAATATAAAATATTTTGACCCAGTCGATCAATTGGAATCAACGTGAACAGAGGGAATCAGTTATTGTTACCGACTGCAGTAGAGAGGGGTAACAACGCCACAGAGGATGGCCAGCTCTCGGACAATCCCATCCCGAAACGACCCATAGTTTTGTGAGGGTATCAGTTGAAAGTCGATTACTCATAACCAGTTCTAAAACTGGTGAACGGAATTGACCTTTAATAAATAATATCTACATTTTTATATAGCATGTAATTGTAAAAATGCGGGTTGAAAATATTTGTATACCTCTAGTGACCTATTAGCATAAAGATCATGGCTTTTAAGCTTAGATACGAACTAAGCTTAAGCTGGATGGCCAGCTCTCGGACAATCCCATCCCGAAACGACCCATAGTTTTGTGAGGGTATCAGTTGAAAGTCGATTACTCATAACCAGTTCTAAAACTGGTGAACGGAATTGACCTTTAATAAATAATATCTACATTTTTATATAGCATGTAATTGTAAAAATGCGGGTTGAAAATCTTTTGTATACCTCTAGTGACCTATTAGCATAAAGATCATGGCTTTTAAGCTTAGATACGAACTAACTTTAGACTAATACAGTTTTCTGTAAGCTAGTAAACTCTGTTGTATACCCCAACTGGGATATCTATCATTTATGTCCAGGTTTTATCTCCACCGGTTTTATTCTGATACACGATATCGAAACTGATTGTTGATTGACATAATAAAATTTGATCTTACCTGATTGGTTATATTATTTTGTCGACTGAAGCTGATTTTGTTTATTGACTTGTGAGTTTGATATTCCCAGGATAGTTCCACATCTTGACGAAGAGTTGAATTGACAGGTTCTCGAGTTGTTGGCACCCAAGTGAAATCTGAATTTAATCGTAACGTATTACAAGGTATTCGTTTCTGCCAACATTTTTATTACCAAGGTAATATATAATAGATTAAATTTAAATGGGGTGTGGGGACGAACCTAGGCTAATGCAGACGGGAATACGTTATGTGGTGTCCTATGTAGGGACAGGGGATTTTTGTTTTGGTCTATCTTTATCGAATTCGAACCGCCTGGGAGATCGCTCCCGTCAAAAGGCAAAGCCTAGTAACTCACTTTTTTTTTTATCAAAATTGAGTAAGGATCAAATTTGTAGTTACTAGGGTATGTGCTTCCTATGTTGTACTATATATATAGTTATTCCAATCTTTTGATTTTGTAAGCACAACCTAGCAACTTCCTTCATTTGTCAAGAATACCACAGCAAAACCTAATAACTCAATAGTCAAATAAATGGATGAGCTGGGGTTTAATATTCATTCATTACGTTTCCCTTTGTTTTCTCAAACTAAGAAAAACGTGAGTTACTAGGTTTTGCCTTTTGACGGGAGATCGGCTTTCCGTCCCACCTAACACATAGATGTTGTTATATGCCAGGCTTCTCATCCTATACTAGTGTCGAGTGGAATCACGCTAGTAAATCCCGAGTAACTTAAGAACTATACCAGATTTAAATATCGGATTTAAAGTTGGAATTCTATGAATGTCAAATCAAGGAGAAATCCCACATATATACCTAATCTACTTCCCCGTATCACAGAAGATACAAAAATTGTAATGATGTTGGTTTAGACATTTATGTGATTATTGGAAAGCTATATTGGATTTCACACT